GGCGCGGGGCTCCCCGGGAGTTGGAGGGGGGCGGGCGGGAGGACGCTATCCGTCCGTCCGTCTGTCAGTGTGTCTGTCCGTCTGTCAGTGTGTCTGTCCCCCCGGCGCAGCCCCGGCCCCGCAGCGGGGAGGGGCCTCAGCATCCCCGGGGAAAGAGGGGGCTGAACCCCCTGGGGCTCCGCTTTCCCTTCGCTCCATCCCTACCTCACCCCCCAGTTCTCGCTGGCATCACACGAGGCCCCTCAAAGTGCCCACGGGTGTTTCTGCTGGTTTTCCCCACGGCAGCAGGAGAGCGAGGCATCGCCGAGTGTTTGCAACCCCAGCTGCAAAATACGGAAGGTATTTTTTCCCTCCACCCTTTCCCGGAGAGAGACAGGACAGACCGAAGGGGAACTTCGCTTCCCAGCTGCGGCTTTATCACGCAGGCGCCCGCTCCTCGCTGGCACACTCCGTACACCTCCATCACCCCAGGGAGCAGGAGGAGGGAGCGCCGGAGCTGCCCCTGCCTCAGTTTCCCCAAGTGCAAACGGGTGCTGATGCCGCCAAAGGCACCCAGTGCCTGCCAGGGGATTCATGTGTAACTCCCTGCTTGGGAAGAAAATACAGGGGTGCCAGCAAAAAAACGCTTTTAGTAATGAGTGTATTTTTCCTTATGGTCAGAGAGGTGGAATTGCAGTTATTCAGGGTGTGTCTGCTGCTTGAATTAAGAAATAATATTGGATAAACCCATCACCATGCTACTTCTCTTTAAAATCTTTCCTCAAAAGTTTCTATCAAAAATGGACACACAATTTTTTTGGCAGCTGAAGCTCCTCTGGCTTCTGGCCAGCAGGTGAGGTGAGGTGTGGACTGTGCGTGCCGCTTTCCTTCTCTGCAAAAACACAGCGGAAAATGCTGCTAAAATCAGCAATTTGTGCAAAAAAAAAAAAAATTCTGCCCTGAAAAAAATGTTGTTTGCTGTCATGTTGCATGTCTGCTCTGCTTCTCTCTCAAGGATGTAACGTGCCTTGAGTCGGAATTTGATTTTCCCTTTGCAATCTGCTGCATAGGGTCTCTCTCACCAGCACCCAGCACCCGTGGGATGTGCCAGACCCTGGGTGCTGCCTGACCCCTCTGCCTGCGCTGCAGGCAGCCGTGCAGGAACCGCCTGCTCCCTGGCCGCAAACAGCTCCTCTTCCCCTTTCTTCCCGGCCGGGAAGGGAAGGCTCAGCCTGGCAGGGCCTGGGGTTTCGGCTGCACCCGTGAGGATGCGCCCGCATGTCCCCACGGCAGCGGGGAAATGGGGGTGCTGGTAATACGGCTATGGCTCAGGTGCCACACGTAAAGCCCTCGGCCCTCGGGACTCACCCATACCCGCCCGGGGCCAAGTAGCCCAGTGTTGGCAGGACAGTTAGAGGCAAGGGAAACACTGCTGGGCACAACAAAAATAAAGTGATAAATAACAGTGCTGCAGCACAGAAGCCAAACAGCTTAAATTCCTGCCCCTGCCCAACCAGGGCGATGCTGCCTTATAGCACGGTCTTGCCATAGCACCCAGCTCTACACCACTAAACTCCCTCTGAGCCCCGCATGAGTTGCGGATCCAAAACAGGGCCAGGACTTGGGGGGTTTTGCTTTCATCACCCCTTTTCAGCCCCGATGCCTGGCTGGGCTGGAGCTGCTGGGGCTCGCAACAGCCGAGGGCAGCAGCCTGCGGTCGCTTGGCCCTGCGGAGAGCGGGCAGCGTGGCACCGACCTGCCGCTGGGGCTGCCAGGGCCCTCCAGCTCTGCTTCTCAGCCCGGTCCCAGGGACCGAGGCTCCAAGCATTTGTGCACTTGACCGAGGCAAAGAAAAGCCCCTTCCCTTCCCCTTCTCCCAAGCTGGCAGTATTTTTGCCTTTTGCTTGTTTGGTTTTTTTTTTCTTTAGTAGACAGTTCCCAGTGGTTATAATTATACAAGCCTCCCCCAATCAGTCATTAAATTAGCACCTTCTTATACATATATATAATATATATATAATTTATAGAGAAATTACTTTTGTAAACAATATTCTTCTACTCCAGAAGGAAGTGTAGTCCGTGGCATAATGCAGCTACAAACACGTATCTCAAAAAGAGGACCGGCAGCTCCGGGGGGGGGGGGGGGGGACCCACCTCCGCATGCATCCCCAGCAGGACAGCTCTTGGGTGGAGAGGGAACCAGCCAGCTCGGTTTGGGTGTCACTGGTTTCAGCTGAAGCAAACTG